ATTAGGTTATTAAAGGCACAAGAAGCTTTTGATGGGTTATGTCAATATTGTCCTGTTTTTATTTATTAACCAAATACCTTGGAAGAATGGTCATAATTCCTGGTTATTACACCCTTCTCTCTGATTCCTTCCACAGCCCCTTATCACCTGTGCAATCTCACTATTCAAAGTGCTCTCTTTCCAAAGCCTGCAAAATTGACAAACTAAGTGCCCCTAAGGTCCTGCCTGTTTGACCTGTATGCACTGTGATACTGTTGACAGCTCATTCCATTTAAGACCATTCACTCATTCATTCATTCAACAATACTTATTTGTTGTTTATCTTAAATATGTATGAGTGTAGATATAATAATTTTTTTCTCTTTCGTATGTGATAGTGGTATGCCTGACTCACTGTCACTAGATTTCCTGCTTTGGATTTTTTAAAAACCATGATGGACCTGGACATATCTGTCTAATTCTCCTGCCAATGATCCCAATCTGGCCAATCTGAAAACAGACTGGCAATATTTAAAGGTATAACACATGGAAGCTAAAGGGAAATTTGATTAGTACACTTCCAGCTACCAAAAATATCTGCATTTGCATTCTTCATAGCTATGTCAAAGGTTGACAGCCAGCCCGCTTTTGAAAACTGACCTCTTCATAGAGCATTTTGAAGAAAACAGAATGTTGTGTAGGGATGTTTACTAGGTTTACAATTTTAATTTCGAGGCAGACTATTTAGCTCTTATTTACTTAACTTCTTCATAAGAACACCCACTACTTGGAAAAATGTCTACTGAGCTTGGGAACCTCAAAAAATGGGATGGAAGCATGACAGAGCTGTACAAGGAGGCACAGGGTGTCCAAGAATCATGTGTAATGCAGCACTTTGGAGCGGGCTGGATGCTTTATTTGCCCTCACTTACTTTCTTTAAAACATAACATTCATTTATTCATTGATACTAGGTCTGTTGTTTATTTTGGATGCATGGATGGATGTTTGATTCACTGGAGATTATTTACCTTAACTATACCCATTTGTTAAACTGGACCAGACTAGTGCTATTTCTCTATGAGTTTCCTTAACATCTCAGAAGCTAAATTGAATGTAAAGGAAGAGGACTTAGAGTTTCTTACACTTGAGTGTAGCACAAGAAGAAAACACTCAGAGAGGGGACAAAGCCCTGCAGAAACTGCGTGAACGTCCTAGAGTGGAACAATGGAGGAAGTGAAAAGAGGGGAGGCAATGCATCTATTAAGATACATTAATATATAATATAATACACAATATTTGTAAATTGCTTGAGGATTCACGTGTGCTACTTTGCCTTGGGAAAACACATCAGGGACCACTTCTATTGCTCTTTTGGCCCCAGCACTGGGGCTCTCATGCTGGGATACATCAACACGTCACAAGCTATTTCCTGCTTGTGCCACAGTGAGCAGTCCCTCCTGCTGGAGCACAAAGAGGGTCTTGGAAAGAGCAGACTTGGATGAGATTTGAGAGGAAAATACCCTTCAGAAATAACCTCAGAAAGACATCAAGAAATGGCAAAAATTACCTAATGTGGGCTTGGCACACCCACCATTCTACTGTGTTTATTTGTTCAAAGCTAATTTTGGTAACTTGTTCTCTGTGGTGTGGTGTGCAAGGCCTGCCAGTCTTGACCATTCTGTCCGGGGTCGATTGTGTGGCCTGATGGGACTGCAACCTGAACCACTACAGCAGCCTGGGAAAGTGGCACAGGGGTCTTAGGCATTGTTTTTACTCTGAAAGAGCACAGTGCTCGCTCCTAAGTGACATTGTCAGTTTGGTCCTAGGGATAAGGCTTCCCGGACATTTGCATGATTATAGTTCTAAGTGATTTTAGAGACGGATAGGATGGTCTTCTTATGAACGCCACTGCATGACCCTGTATGGGAGACACTGAGGTGGCCTCATAGTCTTCATTCTGAGAAACATCTATGTTTTGTTTCTAAGGCAACAAGGTCATTCAGGGTAGAGGAGGAGCTACTTTACATGTGGAAAATACTAATGACAGAAATGATTTGTGCAACAGGACCAGAATCACATTTTTCCTTGATTTATCACATGCTACTTTTTTCCCTTTGTTCTTTGGCCACCTTTCCTACAAACCCTTCGATGAGGAAAATCCAACCACTAGAGCAACAGAATGGGATTGCAGTTCGTGAGAGACACCATTCATAAATTCAAATTCATAGGCGGGCCCCATCTAGGAACTCTCATGGAATCTTTGCAAATAGTACAAGTCCAAAGGTTTCTATTTTAAGGTCTCATAAAAAACAAAATATTTGAGAGTGCACATTACTGGTTTCTTTTTACCATGGGATTTCTTTCCTTCTTTTCCTACATTTTCAGATGAACTTTATGACCAAGTAGAAATCTCAACAGACAGTAGTATCCAGCCAGAGTACACTAGACGGGCAGATGGATGCAACGGATGTCCAAAAGACAGGCATTTATCTCAGGTTGACTATCCAGGAAATTCAGCAGTTTTCCCAAGGAGATAAATATAAGATGGTGGTTAAGAGCAGCCTGGCTGATTTTGAATCCTGGCTCTGTCCCTTACAAGCTGTGTAGACTTGAATCCATTGCATAAACTCTCTGTGCCTTTGCAGCCTAATCAGCACTATGAAAAGTGGTGTCATGCTAAACAGGATTTAGAACTGTATCTTTACCTAGTAAATATACAACAAATAAGTGCTATCTGTTATTAGAGAAGCTTCCAAACAGTCATCTTCCCTGCGCCCATTAGAAAATACGTAACTACTGGATTTTAGAGGGCTTTTTTTTTTGGTGCAAAATGCAATAGCAATTTCTTAAAACCATTTTGTAATAAAATAATAATGGATGAAAAGAAATGTCACTCTAAAACATTATTTCCAGATTGGGAGGGAAATACTTTATTAAATTTTAAAATTTATTAAATAAGGCTTTATTAAATCTTAAGATTTAGTACATTCTGAGATGAAAGATGAAATCATTCTCTGAAACCTGACTTTTAAGACAATACACGAGTAAATGTATAAAATATAAAAAAATTAAATGACAAACGTGACCTGCATCTCTGGTTGACAGAGCCACAGAGGGGTAGAAATTAGGATTAGTCTCAAAGTTAGAGTCAAGAGACCACTACATCTGTGACCTTAAACCAGAAATATAACTAGAAGGGACACTGAGACACTCCCATCTCACTCCCTCCCAGCAACCCCAAACATTCTCTAGAAACTAACATCTTTTCAATTGGCAATGAATTTTGTGGTTCACCTGGCATTGAATTTTGTGATTTAAAACCTAAGGGATAATTTTATGTTATATATCTTTTACTATAATTTTAAAAAAATTCTTAAGAGAGTCCCTTGGAAAAATGATGAAATCCTCAAATATTTTTGGAAAAATGACTCCTTTTATGATGATGTGAAAGTCAAGCAGGAAGAGTTTTTATGTCAGAAAATTACAACCTTCCCAAAACACTTGACTCATTACTCTTTCTAAGAACTAATGCACTCTTGGAATTATAAACTACATTTTGTTGAAATCAATTTATTTTAAAAGAAAAATCTCAGTAGTAATTGTACAAGACATGAAGAAATGTGATCAGTGAGGCACCTTTTTATGGACTGCCACCAAGCCCATGCCCTGCTCCCAGCCCAGCATCCCCACGGATGCTCTTATTTCCAGACTTCATTTCTCATTTGCCAAAATGAAAACTTTAGGCCAGTATGACCTCGAATATCCCTTGTGGCTCAAACATTCCATAATTCTATCACTGTTGCAAACTCCAACTAAGCCTCTTTTTCACAAACATGTGAAAATTATCAATTTTGGTAACCAAAGAGTCTTAAAAATAAATGTGGACTGTCAAAATATTTTTTTCCTTGCTGCAGGATTTTACCTCCAGCCAAAGACATTTTATAAAAACTTCTACTCAGTATTCAAAAGAGCCATTTCTTTCCCTTAGAGAGAATTAATCATAGGCAAGGACTGGAAAAGACAGTCTCCCCAGATGAAGCTTAAGCACTCTCCCACAGAGAAACTCATTCTATTTTAATTTGCCAATTAAAACTGCCCTGGGAAATCACACATTGTCATTATCTCATTAAAAATACTATACTTGTCACTCCCTTACCTCTCTCTGGAAGAGGAACACTCCAGTGGCAACTACTCCTCACAACTTAAATTTAATAGCCCCCTTAAAAGGTTGGCTTTATCTAGAGTCCTTTGGGGACAGTACCATCTGCTGTTATGATTGCCACAAATTCCACAGATCGCCAGTGAGTAACTCAACACCATTTATTGGGTATTTACTATATCTGTGAAATTGACTAAGCATTAAGAAGAGTTAAAAAGTCACTAAAAAGCTTGTATTCAGCAAATTAATGGCCACTCTCGTTGGAAAACGGAGTCTTATAAACAGGTCTTTTAAAGATCCCTGGTCTCACATCTCTTGGTTCTATCTGGCTCTTATTCAACTCCTCCCTGTCTGTCTTTCCTGGTTTTCTGTGGAATGACAACGTTCCAAGGCTGGTACTGATAGCTGAGATTACACCCGTGCAATAGAAAATAAGCCTTCATTTTTGTTGGTATGACATTTATAAATTCCCTTCTCTTATAAACTGTATATTGAGTTGACATAACATGTGGGAAATAGAGTTATTTGAATTGTGTTACTTAGTCCTACTTTTCAGTTTCCAATGAGCCATAACATGACTACAGGGCAGGAGTAAGATGGAAACTGCGAAAATTCTGGATAATGGCTTATCCTTAATAATGCCCCCTTTGAATAATATAATAAATAATCAATGGTAAAGCTATGACCCTGGCTTCCTGCATGTACCTAAACCTGATTCTGTATACACACCTGCAGGGTATTATGTAGTTCCAAAGATTCATCCTCAAAGAATCCATTGACTTCTGCCTAATGAAAACACATATACCATGACTCACTAGGGGACGGGCACTCTGCCAGTCTTTGACCAAAGAGCCTGATTACCTTATTGCCTTGAAATCCCTTCGGGCCTGGATCTCCTGGAGGTCCACCGATGCCCTGCTCCAAGATGAAAACTGAGAGTTAGTGCTGAGTACCAAAGGCTAATCAGGAATGAATCATTCATTAGGGTTCCTAGAGATTCCGGAGTTAGAAGTCACACTGTCTAACTCAGAGTTAAGCTGGGGTTACATGATTAAATTCCTTACGTGAAATACGCAACTCCTAAAATAGTACTGAGCTGAAAGTACTATTTATTAATGAGGAATTTGTTTTCTAAACGTAGGCTTCCAGACTTATTCCTGTGCTGGACCCCTTTTTGGAAAGATTCCGAATAAACACCTACTTCTTAAAAATATATAAGGCATATATAACCGAAAGCTGGAACTTCCAGTGACCCTGTGATAATCAGAGTTTCTGCCCTGCCCTGACACAATTCCAGGATAGAGCAAAGGAACTGATGGCTAACTAGATGCTGTCTAGGAAATCTTGGGTAAAGATACAATTTTCAGTAAATTTCTTGAAATACTGAAATTAGCTCTTCATACACACACACACCGCCTCTCCCAGTGACAAGGTTAGACATAGTCCCCAGACTGGAAAAATTTGATCTAAATTATTTTCTGAAATCCATGTGATAAGTCTAAAATAAATGCCTTAAAGTATCATTTCATGTTATTGAGCAATAACTACTTGTAATGATGGAACAATACAAGTGCTGTAATTTAGATAAAATGCACAGCTCTTCCAACTGTATTACAGCAGCAATGCAAGCATAGTTACATCCTGCTTTTAACTCATCCATCTTCCTAGACTAATTTTGAAACTTTTATCCTGTCAGCTACTCACCTGCTGGTACCTAGTCTTAGAGAGCCTGAATTAGTTATTGAAAATATTATAGCAGCAGTTCCCAAACTTTGTTTCACATTGGAATCACCTGGGTATCTTTAAAAACACTGATGCCTGGTTCCAATCCCCAGACATCCTGACTGAATTGGTAGAAGGTGCAAGTGGGCCAAGGGATTTTAAAAGCCCCCTCGATGAATCTAATACAGACTTAGATTTGGTTTTAGCCTCTTTACCTGAAGTCCTCTGGGTCCCTTTGGTCCATTTGGCCCTGGGAATCCCTGTGGAATAAAATTATAAATATATAAAATTATTATATATTTTATATTTATATATAATTTTATTATATATAATATATAAATAATATCCATCTTGCTCTAAATATCCATCTTCAATTTGCAATGATTTTAGGTGAAATAGAAGCGAACGTGTTCTCAGTAATGGTCCATCTTCAAGGTTACCCAAACATCAACGCCAACAGACTTACTGTTAACAAAATGATCCTGATTAACAAGCCAACTTGGGGTCAAGCCTTCCTTTAGTAAACAAACTCAGTGAAAAAACAATTTTAGATGTAAGTCCTTTGCCTATATATTGACATTTTGATCAGAATAAAAAATTTTATTTCTTCAGAATCCTTAGAAAGCAATAAACTTGGTGGAACATAGTTTCCTTCCAACGAGGCAAGGAAATTGTTCATCAAACTGCAATTTAGTGAGTTTCCACAATGCCTAGGCCACTCGCTTGCCCATCCTCAAGGTACAGACTTGGCAAAATACTATTTATACACAACACTCTTCTAATAGAAGATATTTCAATATGTTCCACAACTAAGAAACCCTTTAAAGTTAATTTTTATCAGAGTATAATATAGTCTACTCTCTCTTTTCTCAAATTTCCACTTTTTTTTCTGATTACCAAAATATTTGTTTATAATAGACATACCTTAGCAATTTTAGGAAAAAAGTAAAGAAATGGAAAAAAATCACACAGAGGCAACTGCTGTTAACATTTTAGGCATATTTTCATCCAGTTTTATTCCCAGTAGATTTTTCTTTAAATAATTTGATCAAAGTGTATCTCCAACTTCGTGTCTTATTTATCTGGCCTTCCATTCTACCATTTTTCCATGTCATTAAAAATTCTTAGTAAGCTGAATAATACCCAAGATTATGCACCTATCATAATGGTAATTACTCATTTCCCTAGTTTTGACATTTAAGTTGTTTCTGGTGATTGCTGTTGTTAATAATGTTATAATGAATATCTCTCTGTGTAAATCCTTGTCCAACTTCTGATTCATTCCTAAGAGTTAGAAGCAGGTGACTGACACAGAGACTGGTCAGCACATTTAAGGCTCCCCTCCTCTCTCTTTTGTATCTCACACTATATATGAAAAGAAAGAGTGAAAATTTCCTCCATAAATTTGTTCACATTTCCATGCCCACTACCTGAATAGAGAGCATACTTCTTCATCTTACAGAATCCCTAACAACACTGAGTATTATGTGTTATTTCAGTGTTTGCTAATTTGATAAGTGAAATAATATTTTAATATTTTACTTACCTGATTGCTAATGTGTTTGGATTCTTTAAAATTTATTAGCTATTCGTATTTCCTCTTTTGTGTCTCTGTGTTCTTTGTCTTTCAGATAAACTTGTGTGAACTCTTCATCTCAAGGACACTGTATTTCATTGATTCTAGACATATATTTTTTTCAGATTTTTACATCCTTGAAATTGGGATACATCATATAGTCAAATGCATCTTATATTTATAATTGGCAGTATTTTTCTTTCTTTCTGGCACAGAGGACGATAGGGCTTTTAACAATTTCTGGCATCTTAGTCAATGAGATATATTAACTCTTTATCAGTCATTTTTATTTCAAATAGTTTTCCTAATTATTATGTATCTTTCATATTTGTTCTATTCTATATGTGTCCCCTCTTCTGTATTTTCAAGCCCATGTTCATCTCCCATTTTCAGTTAACCTCCAGGAAGAATCCATTCATTAGCACACTTTTCATTTTGCCCAGAGATAATTCCCACGCCTACATTTCTCAGGTTTGCCTGACTTTTAACTCTACAGTAGTTGAAAAGCTTTCAGAAAGTCTCAAGCTATTTACAGTGTTTAGTTACATAAGCCAGTGTCACTCTTTTATCCTTTTCTTTTCACCTTCTGCCTCATTTTCTCTCCTTGACTCTTTGCATAGCTAAAATACAGATATTGAAAGAGTTTGGTATTTTGGTGGCATGCTGTTTCTAGTTTTTAACTTAATGAAAACTATTTACTTTTACTGTGTACTTTTTTGGACCCTTTATCATGTTTCAAATATACTCTAAATGTATTTCTGGTCTCTTCAGGTACTCCTTAATGTTTTAATATTGTCTCCAGTTTAAATATTTTATTCACATTTACTTTCTAATGAGAGGTAGATAATTACCGAGTTACCTGTGGCTTGCTGCATTTTCAAAATTCCAAACCCCTTTCTATGTCTAGTTCTACTGCAGTATTTATGACTATTTCATGAACTGGTTCCATAGAGTTCTTCGTTCTACTTTGGAAGGTGCTTGTTTGCAGTGTTTACATCTGGAAGGCAATTCCACTTTGACCCAGTTGGAGCTTGGGCTGGCTCTGCTAGTTAAATTATCCTTTTCACCATAACATTCAGTAGGCCTGGCCTCAAAGGTTAGGGTGCCACAAAGCAGAGTCTTAATGGTCCATAAGAAAGGCATTTGGGGGCCTCATTAAGTAGAGTTAGGTATGGCTTTGTTTTCTGCTTCATGTTTTACAGATGTGAAAACTGAGCCAGTGACCCCCTCAGTCCCAATAGTGAGAGCAACATAATGCAGCCCAGAATTTCCTCTTAAGGAAACGGCCCCAAAGGGATCACAGCTGTTAGCATTTTAAAAGAAAATTTTAAAAAACACGTTCCTTACTTTGTCACCTTTTATTCCTGGTTTACCGCATTCTCCACGTTCACCCTAAAAAATAAATAGATGAAATAAATAAGACATTTGCAGTTATTCAGTGTTAGGATTTTTTTTAAGGATTCTCAGCAGAATCTTATGACATGAGCAGCCTCATGAGTTACACACAGTTCTGTCCTCAATACTGTGGGTAGTTTGGGCATTGAACTCTGAAAAAATTTTATCCATAGGTCATTCTTAACTTGACAGAATCAAATCAGTGATACTACCTAATGATGTTTAACATTTCTGAGACACGAATGAAATTAAAAGGAAAGATGCTAAAGCTGACTGAGCATCTACCATATATTATATGCCCTTTGCATATGTGATTTAATTGGATCCACATTACAGCCCAGTGAGATCAGATTCACAATTCTTTTTTGCAATTTGATCTATATGGCTTTATTTTTTTAATTGGCATATAGTTGACTTACAATATTCTATTAGTTTCAGATGTACAACATAATGATTCAATATTTTTAACAGATTACACACCATACAAAGTTATTATAAAATATAGACTATACTCCCTGTGCTGTACATTACATCCCTGTAACCTATTTATTTTATAACTGGCAGTTTGTACCTCTTAGTCCCCTTCACCTTCATCTTATTTTATACCTGAGAAAAGTTAAGCTCAACAAGGTAACTTCGCCCCATCCTATAGCTGTAAGGTGAATCAAGGTCTGAACCCAGGTCTACTTAGACTAGGAGTCCCTGCTTTTTCCACAGCACCACATGCTACACCATGAGCACCAACCTTGAACAATTAGTGGTGTTTGCCCAGAGAACTGTGAGAGAAAGGTTCTGAGAGCGTGTCATGACGTGGTGGAGAACGGCGCTGTGATGAATGAGCAAGGTCTGCTGTGACAGGGAGCGTGGGGCGTAGTGGCGGGCATGCTACACGTGTCCCATTACCATCAGTCTACTGTCCTGCCTTTCCTGGAATGTTAATGCGACAAACCCCTAACAGTTAAGTTATGCTTTATAGTTGATTATTCAGGTTATTTTGCAGACATTATATCAGTTAATCTGACATTAACTGGGGTAGCTATTATTAGCCCAGTTTCACAGACTGAAAACTTGTGATTTAAACAGGTCAAGTAACTTGCTCGGGGAGCATAGAATTGGAGTTTTTGAATATTAGTCCGTGATAGCAGACTTCTAAGAGTTCTAATAATCAGAACTAAAAAGTAACAAAGTCAATTAGAAAAACAACTCAAGTTAGAATTTTCAAAGTGCGTTCGTGTATATCTATATTCTGAGCCTCAAAGCACTTCATCTTTTCTGGATAAGGCAATTCAACTGGGGAGGTTAAATGATTTACTTAAACATACATGCCAGCTAACAGCTCCTTGTCT